AAATCAAGAATGGGGCGCGCAAAATTGTTCTTGAGAAAGCAGAAGAGGCGAGGGCTGCTGCATTCTCTGCCTTTAAGTCGCTTGGTTTGGATGTTCATCACCTGTCGAATCACTTGCCCTTAGCTCCTGCTAGGAGTCCCAATGAACAAGTAACTATTGAAAGAGATATTTCCGGAAGCTCTGTTGCTCCCAGTGGACTACAACATGTTCCAGGACAATCAAGCATGGAAGGGCACATGGAACGTGGAAACTTTGATACGGATAATCACAGAGAAAGAGAAAAGCCAAGGGAAGTATCAGGGGCGGCCTTGGGAGTTTCATCAGAAGTTAACTTGACCGGTCCTCTTCCTGATTTTCAACCTATGGGAAGTACAGTTGGCAATGATGAGCCTAATGCTGTTAGTATTCTTTCCAGTGATGACAGAGATATCAAAAATGAGGATATTGCTGAGCAGAAGTTGACGACGAATGCCAATATTCCTCTTAGCAATAAGGATAATGCAGGCGAAAAGGGTCCAATAACTGCAGGAAATATTCGTGGCGGATTTGACTTTTTCTTGGAACTCTGGGAATCTGCTGAAGAATTTTTCTTTGATATCCACTATAATAAACTACAAGATTTGAATTCGCGCATCTCTTATGAGATGCATGGAATTGCGATCTGCTGGGATAGCTCTCCTGTATACTATGTCAATCTTAACAAGGACCTTCCCAACCTGGAATCTGCAGAAAAGCTTTCCAATGATGCTGCTATTGGCAAGAAAGAGGTTTTGGGTAGCCACAACATGTATGATGTTATAAAATCCAGGTGGAACAGAATCAGTAAAATAATGGGTAATGAAAAGGCGAGAAAGTTCACGTGGAATTTGAAAGTCCAGATTCAAGTGCTCAAGAGTCCTGCCATTTCAATCAAAAGATGCACTCGCCTGAATCTTGCAGAAGGGATCAGAGATCTTGAGTTGGTGGATGGATCTTGGCTAGTGATGCCTCCTCTTCGCATAAACCATACCATTGACATGAGCATCGTGACATGGATTCTTTGGCCAGATGAGGAAAGACACTCAAATCCAAACATAGATAAGGTACCAGATTGGCAACTGGCAAGAACGAATTTAATATATCATATCTCTCCTGATGACGGTGTTATATCTTTTATTCTTGTGTTCGTTAGTCTAATATTCTCATTACTTATGTAGTATATATGTTCATTAAAAGTTTCTAAAACTGTTATAGGAGGTAAAGAAAAGACTATCGCCAGAGGCAGCTGAAGCTGCAAATCGCAATGGCAGGTGGAGGAATCAGATCCGCAGGGTGGCCCACAATGGTTGCTGCAGACGGGTTGCTCAAACGCGAGCCCTTTATTCAGCTCTTTGGAAGATTCTTGTTTCCGAGGAACTTCTTGAAGCACTCACTACCACTGAAATGCCGCTGGTATATCTCCTTTTCACTGCTTTTCTTTTCGGAGGTCTTTTAAAACTGCACCAGTATCCGTCTATATGTTACGCTCATAGTCAAATATTTATGTGAAATTATTTGTTCAAGAAACCTTCTGCGGTTGGTTTTCCATTCAGAAATGTCGTATAGTGGTGGTAAGTGTTTGGTAGGCTACCGCTTCGTAATGAAGATCCCGATGGGGTAGAGCTAAATAATACAGAAAGGCAATCGTCCCAGTGTTAATGTGTTTTCCGTTGAAGACTGAAAAATAAAATTGTTATATTCTACAGTGCACCTTAGTTCATTTAAAAAATGTCTTACTCTGCTAAGTTAGTTGTTTTTGCGGCAGCATAATCCATTCGTTCCGTGTTTCAGGTCAATGTCCTTGCAGATATGGAGCTCTGGGGTATAGGAGTCGATATAGAGGGATGCCTTAGGGCACGGAATATATTGCGGGATAAGCTGCGGTCCCTTGAGAAGAAAGCATTTGAATTAGCTGGCATGCCATTTTCATTGCACAACCCAGCTGATATTGCAAATGTGCTGTTTGCACAGTTGAAGTTGCCCATACCAGAAACCGACAATAAAGGGAAACTTCATCCAAGTACTGATAAGCAGTGCTTGGATCTCTTAAGGTATTGCAAAGGGCTAATTGCTTTTACTTACATTGTTATCTTTCCTTACACCTTTTTAGCTTACTTGGGAATATGATCCCAGGAATGAGCATCCTATTGTCCCAATTATCAAAGAGCACCGCACTTTGGCAAAGCTCTTGAATTGTACACTTGGATCAATCTGTTCACTTGCTAAACTACGGTTGAGCACGCAAAGGTACACTTTGCATGGCCACTGGCTTCAAACATCAACAGCAACTGGGCGGCTTTCCATAGAGGAGCCTAATCTCCAAGTATGTCTTCTACTATGTTTCCTTTTTCATTCTATCGTGTATCCAAAAAATCAGTGACCACGTTACGTTTCTGCAGTCTGTTGAGCATGAAGTAGAGTTCATACTGGCCAAAAGTGGAAAGGAAGTAAATTCAGATGCTGATCGCTACAAAGTTAATGCACGTGATTTCTTTGTTCCTACTCAGGTAATTTCTCCGTAAACATGTGGAGAATTGAAGATGACAACAAAAAATTTACAACATTTCATAGTAGTGTTGAGCCATACTTAATAGGTTCTTCGAGGCAATTTTTTGAAGACTGAATATGATATCGACTTTGTTCACCACAGGAAAATTGGTTACTCTTGACGGCAGATTATTCTCAGATAGAGTTGCGACTTATGGCACATTTTTCTAGAGATCCCTCGTTGATTGCACAGCTTAGTCAGCCAGATGGTGATGTCTTTACGATGATAGCTGCCAAATGGACTGGGAAGACGGAGGATTCTGTTAGTCCGCATGATAGAGATCAGACCAAAAGATTGATCTATGGAATTCTTTACGGAATGGGTGCAAACAGACTAGCTGAACAGCTTGAATGCAGCTCAGATGAAGCCAAGGAGAAAATTAGAAGCTTTAAAAGTTCTTTCCCTGCAGTCAGCTCTTGGCTTAACGAAACAGTTTCATTTTGCCAAGAAAAAGGGTGGGGATGTTATATTTATCTGCATCATTGCTTATTATGCTATATTTCGTTTATACTTTGATCCTTTGATTGGGTTGCTTCTTTATAAGCTATGATTAAAATCCAAGAACATCTTTGATATGCAGATACATTCAGACTCTCAAGGGAAGAAGAAGATTCTTGTCGAAAATTAAATTTGGGAATGCCAAAGAGAAATCTAAGGCTCAAAGGCAAGCTGTAAATTCCGTGTGCCAGGTCCGTCCTTGTGTCTTCCTTTCCTTTTCCCTTATACATAAATAAGACACTTAGCCAGATCTACCTATTTAGTACCTTTCCCTATTTGCTCTTTCGCTGTTGGTGAGAGTTCTAAGGAGTCTCATTTCCTTCAAAGTGAATCCTCTTAAAATGGATTCATGAACATTTGCTTCCAGATCATATAATATTTACATGGTTGTGGTTTTTATTCAGGGATCTGCTGCTGATATAATCAAGATTGCGATGATAAACATATACTCTGCAATTTCTGAGGATAATAATACTGCAGCATCTAGTTCTTCAACTGAAACTAGGTTTCACATGTTAAAGGGACGATGCCGGATTCTTCTACAGGTGAGAGTTGCCCACCCTTTTTATTGCTTGAAATCTGTTGTTTCTCTCCATAAATTCTATACTTTTTCCTGCAAGTTAATATTTGTTTTCCATATTGTCTATATAGCTCATTAAAGTTGGACATTATGATGCAGGTACATGATGAACTAGTGTTGGAAGTTGATCCTTCTTACGTAAAAGAAGCTGCAATGTTGCTACAATCCAGCATGGAAAATGCTGTTTCACTTCTCGGTATTATACCATGCTCCTTTTTATGCGAAGTTTATATACATATTGTAAGTTGACTCTATTGGTTGTGTTGTGTATTTTCAGTGCCTCTACATGTGAAACTGAAGGTTGGGAAAACATGGGGTTCCTTAGAGCCGCTGCAGGCTGATTAAGACAACAAAATCTCAATTTGAGAGCTTCGGATTGTTTGAGCAACTCACTCACAGGCGTGTTTAATGACTCAAAATGTTCCAACATCCACGGCTTGACTGAAGGCGATGCTCTGTTTCAATCTTCCTTGTGCTTGAAGATGTAAGTGGAGAGGAACGGACCATTCCAAAGGGAATTTTCGTATGATGTGTTCAGAGGGCTCTCCTTATCAGATTTAAAGAGACTGTAAAGTTACAACCATTAACAGTTGCCACAGTTTTACTTAGATCAGGAGAAGTAATTTCTCTTTTTGACTGTAAAATGTAAATACATACTCTTTCTATACATCATACTCACTGC